GATATGCCTTTTTCTGCCTGTTAGCTACATCTACACAATACCATTTAACCCCTGTTGACCCATTTTCAATGGGCACCTCCCTTGGCACCTCGATGATAACATTCTATAGAAACAGAAGGCAACTATTTATTTGCACGAAGCAACATAACACAAATATCGTGGTCAAATGCACTAATTGAGAGTATCAATATATTTATTTACTTCTCCATGTATAAACAAGTCTGTTTAGCCTCGAAATTCTAGTCATTTTGTTGTTTTCAAGAACTCACACATATTAAGTGTTAAAGATAGTGACAATTTATCAAAATTGGACTTCTGCGTCTTCTACGACTAAGACACATGCGAAACAGTTAACTTGATTTCAATTCGTCAAGTGCGAGTAATTTGGGCACGCTTTTTGATTCGAATCGAAACTCAAGTAGCCAAGTATTGGCCGGGCCAAAAGCTTTCCCTTTACTTTTGCTTTTCGCTGGCATTGCACTTTGTCAACACTTGACTGGCCACTTGAGCATGAGAATTGTTTGGCCAGCAACACATGGGGATGTAGCTCAGATGGTAGAGCGCTCGCTTAGCATGTGAGAGGTACGGGGATCGATGCCCCGCATCTCCAACTTGTACAATATCCAGGAAAATGGAATTTTTTGCTACCGCCGATAGACGAAACAAATACGCAGACGTCTGCATTTTTGATGGGCAAGAAGCAGGCGCATTAATGAATATTCAAAGGCCGCTTTGTAACTGCCAAACGACTTTGGCATTAGATGCTGCTGCTGCTGCTTGCTGCCTCCCAGACTGCACGCCCCGTGCGGCGCCCTCATGTCGACAATCAGGTCGCGTAATTTGATTTGGTGCCCACTCCAAAAGGGGCGGGGCGGGGCGGGCAACACACGGAGAACAGAGCGAACACATTGTCGCACATAAATCAGGCACAATATGCCAATGTTTGTTTACTCGCCTGCATTCGCAGAACTTTGCCAGCAATTAAACAAGCAGCCAAAGCCAAAGCCAGAAACATAGTCCCAGGACGAACAGGAGTATGGGGTGGGGAGGGGGCGGTTGGCTGCCACAGGCAGCCGCAGGCGACACACAGGAAGCAGAGTAAACTCAGGGGTCCACGGAAATGAAAGGTTTGGGTATTGTAAATGATACATGATGTGCTATTTATGAGAAGCCTTTGTTTTAATTTTTGCACCGCACACAGGACAAACTTTTCTTCCCTGACGACTGCTAAGCTAAGCTAGTTAAGCTGTTGCTGTCCTCTTCTCAAAATTTATGTGTTTTGCTATTTTTTAATTGTTTTAAGTGTTTTGTTATGTTGTGGATTTCTCCTTTTTATTATTATTTTTCAATACTGACAGAAAGGAGAAAAAATAAAAATAAAAAGCAAAACTTTGTCCTTGGAGATGCGGGGCATCGATCCCCGTACCTCTCACATGCTAAGCGAGCGCTCTACCATCTGAGCTACATCCCCTTGTTGTGCTGACTCATAAAAAGGCTCAATAACTATCGCAGTTTTTATACCCACTCCACCAATTTGTCGCTAACCGAAATCCAATTACAATTACTGTAGATTCAATTGAAATTCCAGCTACGACGGCATGTGGCCCAGATTGGCTTTTTAGCATGGCCCAAACTGGTTTGCGGTGGTCAACCTGAGATATCAAGACTCAACGTTCAAAGACAATAGTTTTAGTCACAAAGCATTACATAAGAGATTTTTTGGTAAATACAAATTATCTAAAAGAAATCATCTGCTAATATCTTTATTCATCGAGATTTTGTAATAGAAGTAGATAACGATAAAGAAGTATATATATATTCATTCTGCGTATGGTATAGGAAAATATATACTTAAAAATTCTCTGGCTTTTGCAGTTCACACAGTCGGAAATAGCTAGATCGACCCGAGAATATATCGATACACTTTATGGGCTTATGAGCTTATTATATCAATGCCCCAATTCGTAGACATCTAAAGCAATTGAAACCATGGAAACATTCACGTTGCATTCTGTGTATTTAACTACATATAACAAAAGATGGAAAGTAAAATGTTTTGATAAAAATAAACAAGTTAGAACGTTGCAGTGGAGTGCAACAGACTGCTCAATACTCTGTAATAAGCTGTAGTTACCTATTAAATCGGTCAAAATAAATATTCTTGATTATTGTTTAAGTTCTTGTCTGTCCGACTGTCAGGCACTTTGACTTTCCATAATTATGTATGTATATAAAAAAACAGAGTTTTCTTTGCTTTCAATTTGCAACTCAACGAGTTTTGACTTGAACAAAAACCACAATTAAATGTCGATTTTACGCAAAGCTTGTTTATTATGAGAGCCCGCCCCAACCAATAAAGTGCCTATACGAGCATCTTGTGCACAATTTGTGTTTTGGGCTTTAATTAAAACCAAACAAAACAGGAGCACGCCTGTCAACGAGTCACCCGTTGAAGCCGACGAGAAAAGTTGAAAATTACCTCAAGCTGTTGCACATCAAGAACGAAGGCGGAAATTCAGCACAATGTACCCCAGAACCCATCCACTAATTGCTTCTGTCTACTATTGTTGTTGTTGTTGTTGTTGTTGTTGTTGTTGTTGTTGATGTTGTTGTTTTATCAGTGAAACATTGTGAAAACATGTGGGAAGCGTGTTCCCGCTTAAAAAGACATTACGAGCACATCGCGTAAGCAGCAACAATTAGTTTGTCTCATATACAACAAGGTAGCCGCGGATGGGTAGCCCAGCCCCGGTCGCTTGGCAAGAGTTAAACGTTTTCATATTTATGAGCATCGTAAAACTCAATGATATACAAAATTAATGACTGAGGCGCCGCGAGTGGCACTTTTCCGACTTACTTTTGCTTACTTTCTGGCACCCATGCGAATCGTAAAAGAAATGTTACCTCCAAAAACTTTTGTCAGCATTTACCCCGGCGTGCCCCCACCTGCGAGTCAGCGAAGCGTCTTGTAATTTTAATTTCAAGACAGTCTGCAAGTTTTAGTTGCTGTCTCGAAAATATTTGCTCATAGCTCCACTCCGCAGCCCATCCTCTCCCTCTGTTCGCCTAGCTCTAGTGTCACGTACTTTTTGCTGTTCTTTTTTTTTTAATTGACTTGCCTTCGCCCGACACGCTCAGCTCAAGGTTCATTAGTTAGGATGGGGCTTTGGCTTGATTTGACAAATACTTATGTAGGTGCCCTCCAGAATTTCTCCTTCTGCTCATTAGGGCACTTGTCACATACGCCTCATGACATTTGACTTTGCCGCCCGATCCCAGTTTCCGGCAAGCGTGTTGTGACTTTTTTTCCTTTCGAACTCTCGGGCCGAGAGTGGCATCCTTTTTCACTCATCACTGCATAAATTTTCTTAAGTCTTTTCTTTCCGCTATGCGTTATGCATATTAATTTTTATTTGGGACCAAAATTCTTGCACTAGGTTTTGAATTTATGTTTTTTTTTTTACCGAAGGTAGCTCACAGCGTGTTTTTGCTCTGGTTCGTGACGAATGGGCTTAAAAATCGAATTTAGTTTGTTTTTCCTGTGGTTCGAAATGAACCTGAAAAATGCTGTGTTATTCCCTTATTCAAATAAGGGCAACCGCATTCTTTTTTCACTTTTGATGCATACCAATCCTCAACATACAGATATATATACATATGACGAGTTATAAATCAGTTTAAATCAGTCATAATGAATTCGGCACACCGAAGATTTAATACCCTTGCAGACATTTCCCTTTTGCAGATATGTGAGAAGAGGGAAGCTCGAAAATGCAGGATTTGATGGAAATCTTTTGGAAAACAGAATATTTTGCCGTACAAGAACTTTCGATCGAGCTATATGATATAGTGCTCCGCTGTTGATAAGATTTTACATACATATGATAGGCATAATGAAACTAATAAATGTTGAGTTTAGTCAAGATATCGTGATTAACAAAGAAGTTTTCCATACATGAACCGATCGTTCCTATGGCAGCTTTATAATATAGTAGCCCAATCCGGCTGGTTCCGACATTTGTACTGCGTGCAGCATATAGAGGGACTTCTTTCAAAGGAAAGCTTTAAATCTGAGAGACTGAGAAGAGAATATTATACTTCTTGGGCCAGATGTCTCCATCTGTGCGTTACACATTTTGAGACAAAATTATAAGCCCTCTGCAAGGATATAAAAAGAAAAAGAAAACAGAAGCCGAAGCGAAATAACGTTTACTTTCTTCTTTAGAAAGGAAACTAACTATTTTGAATTCCGTAAAATGGATTTGGAATAAGAATTCGAGGATAGATTATCTTATATATTTCAAAACATGGTATATATTTTAAGCAGTTCTCAATACAGCCCTTCATCATATTTAACCTTGCCAATGCCAGCTGCAGTCAATCTACAAATATAGGAACTCGAAAAATTATGCAAAGCTGTTTTCCTTTTGCAAAGAATTCCTTTTGGCGACATTTTTAAATTTTTAATTAGTTTAAGTTACAAATTACATTAAGGAAAAGCCAACAGCTACACAAGATTTGTGGTCGTATATTTTAGCATTTCTTAACGAGATTTTCGAGCGAACCCAAAACAAAAGCAGGACATGCCGAGAGGCAGGTGGAAAAAATGCTCAAGGCCAAAAGGAATTCGCACCTTTGCATACTCAAATAGGGGGAGGGGCGCAACGGAATGCGGAGGGGCTTGTGGTTATAAATTTTAAATCTGTTAAATTAATGGCTCAGAGTTCTTGCATTCTTACGTGCCTCAAAGTTGACTAAAACTTGGCAGAAAGCGAGCACGTTGCCTGATTACATTAATTATTCCTTTATTGTTTGTAGAACTTGACGTTTTTTTTTTTATTGTAACATGTTTTCTGTAGTTTATGTTTTTGTAATGAGCGCGAGTTTTGCCTAATTAGAATTGAATCTGATAGCAAAGCTCTTTCTTTCATACTAATGCATCCCAATTTGTATTCTACTTGCAGGATATATAACAATAAAAGCAATTGTAAAAATAATAGTAATAGCAATAATAATAATGTAAGTACACAGCATACGTGAGCAGCGATTCCTTAAAGCATTTGTATTTGTATGGATCTTTCTCTTTGTGCAGTGGAATAACTACTGTTCGAATCAGTACTACCCGCAAAATAATCCACGCGATTCATATCGTAAATATACACAAGACAACACAAATTGGAACCAATCGTCAAACTATAGAAAGGATAACAGCAATTGGAACCAATCTTCGAATTCAAATTCGTTGAGCTCCTACGATCGCAGTGAGAGACAAGAATTTCGACGGGACTCAAAGTTCCGCGAAAGAACTGATTTTTATAGAAATTCAAAGGCAAATAGAACAGATTCTCTTCTGGGGGAAAGCGCAAATACGAAAAGAGAACACATAAACAATTCATTTCGCAGCTCCAGTTCCAGCAGGACGTGGATAAGTGAAGATCTCAAGAGTAAACGATGCGAAACACAGAACAAAAGCAGCGAAACAAATGAACATTGTACAAAAAGTCAAGAAAGCCAATTGAATCAAAAGAGCTTACAGAGCCCAACTAAGGAAGATCAAAATAGCAGCAATATTACGATTTCAAATCGGGAAGAAAACGAAGAAATTTATTCTGCGCCGGATAGCAAAATAGATGAATCTGAGAACAACTCTAAAGATTCGGATACCATTAAAGAACACAAACCCAAATCAAGAGAATCATCTGAAGAAAAACAAGAACCAAAAGAACAACCTGAAGCAAACAGTTCTACAGCAAGTCCTTTAGAACTCAACATAGACGGATTTAAGGGCAAGTCAGAGCAAGTTAAAGAAATAGTGAAAGATAAAAGGCAGAGCAACAAAGCAGCTGGAAGTCCTAGAAAAGTTGTTGGTATCACAACCAAAAACTACTCCGAATTAAGATTACTTCGAAATAGTATTTCGAGTGCTCTACAACGCAATATTAGGCATAAGTGTCAGCAGAATCTATCAGAGTCCAGGGGGACAAAGCAGCCAGCGCAGAGCGAAGCAAATACAATAGCCAATAAAACATATCCCAAGATACAGGTGCGACCGCTGGCCGAACTGCTCAAGCAGGAAATACTTGCCGTCACCCAGGAGCAGCTCCTGGCCAGCACAGGCCCGCCTGCAGGCAGCAGAGCCAAAACTACGCAAAGGACAGCGATCCAAACACGTCGGCGTACTGTCAGCAGCTCCGTCAGCCATAATAATGGCAGCGGCCACAGCGAATATAGCATCAATGACCGCCTGGCCAACATGGACAAGGAGAGTCTGAAGAACATAATCAACAATAGCGATACGATATACAACGAACATCTGAAGCTGCAGGCACGACGACGTTTGCGCGAGGAGATACGACGCCAGCTGAAGGCCATTGAATTAGAGCAGCCAAAGGATAAGCCAGCCAAGGATCTGGTCGAGGACGAAATCGTCGACGCCATCAAGTTGCCACAGCTGTTGTTGCAAGAGATTGAAAAGTGCTTCGGCATACACATATCAGCACCTGAGGCTGAGGACAACAGCGCCGCCGCCAGGTCAACGGAGGACGATCAGGAGACCAAGGAGAGCAAAGCCTCCAATAAGGAAACAGCTGAAGCTCAAGAGACCAGTGCAACAGATCACATGGCCAAGGAGAACTCGACGGACTTGATGCAACGCCTAAAGGTGGCCGAGCAATTTAAGGCCATGTCGGGCAAGAGACTTGCCAGTGGACAGCTAAACGAAAAGGACACGAGCCAAAGCTCCGAGAGCAGGCTCAATCCTAAGCCGCAAAGAAAAAGGACTGAGAGCGGGTGTCCATCAACTGGCAAAGATAAAGCAGGCGCCCAGAAACAAACAGGAAAAGAATTGCCCACGCCAGAAAACAAATTACCCACTTCCGAAAAAGAGCTACACACTCCGGAAAAAGAGTTACCCGCAACAGAGGCTGGGGATGAACTGAAGGATTCGCATATTAAAAAGGAAATTGCGGTGGATTCAAGTGATTCCGAAGAAAGCTACAACGTTATTGTGGTCAGCTCTTCGGAGGATGAGGATGAGCATGAGGATGGGGCGACGCCAGTGAATAAAGCGCCCAATGCTGAGACAAGTGGCGCCGTCAGCGATCACTCGACCTCGTCCAGCTGCAGCACCGAGTCCACCAAGCGTCGCTACCAGCAAAAGCTGGAGAGCGATGCCAACAACATTGTGGACAGCTTTGAGAAGCTGATATTGCCCCGGCTGAAGGATTCGCTGGCGCAACGCTATCGCAGCAGCCACTGCGCCAGCTTGCAGAGTCGCCTTCACTTCATCTCCTGCGTGGTGACCAGCAGTGAGCACAACTCGCAGACATTCAGCAAAATCGAGGTGGCCAAGATGCAACAGAATCTCAAGGCCAATGACAATCGGCTGGGCATCGACTTCCTTCTGCGCGAAGTCGTCAATGTGGTGAATCTGCAGAAGCAAACGGCGGCAGCGCGTCGCAAACAACACCTGGAGAAGGAGCAGCGCGCGCCTAACGAGCTTACCATCAGCCCACCCGCGTTGGAGCTAAACGGATCCAAAAGCGCTGAGCTCGCGTCTGGGCCACATCAAAGGGAATGCAATGGCGCGAATGTGGCACAGGCTTTGATGCCGCCCACGCCGCCACGGAATGGAACGCCGACGCCGGCAAGTCGGCCGCTGCACGGGCTGCCTTTGGGATTGCCGTATGTGGGTCTAGATTCGAATGTGCCGCGCTTGTCGCCCGGCTGCTTCTCGCCCAGCGAGCCCATCCTGGTGATGGGTGATTCGGTTACGCACAGTCTGCTCGAGATCGATCGACGCCTGCTCGAGAATCAAAATCGACGCGGTTTCCTCGAGGAGATGATCATGAAGTTCCAGCGAGAGAAATCTGATTTGGAGATGCTCAGCCTCGAGCTGCAGAGTCGCAAGTTTCTGCTGCTCAACACGGTAATTGCTAGGAATCAAGCGACAACCGTCACGCCCCCATCAACAGTTACGCCCACGAACTCGCCGCCGCCAGTGATGCAATCGGCAACGCACGAAAACGGTGGCCCAGCAACCTCTGCTGATCCCGAAACCAGCAAACCCAAGCAGCGCAAGCGTCGCTGTGTTCTCAAACGTGTACGCTACCTGCCCAGACGCAAACGTCCAGCCAAGCGCTTCAATGAGCCGGCCCGATCGAACGATGAGGCTGGCAGGTCCGAAGAAGAAGGCGCACCAAAAATCGATCAGCCCGAAGAGATTACAGCGCCTCTGCCCCGGCCTATGACAACGCAGATGCACATCAAGGAAGAGCCAAACGAGCCCATCAAGGCGAATGACGTCGCGAGCAAGCGGCCTCCAAACCCAACGTCTACTAGGGATTCCCCCAAGCGCCAGCGCCTGACCAGATCCGTTGCGGCCAGCATTGCACAGCAACCGCTGGCCATTATACCACCGCTGCAACCACCGCCGCCGCCGCCGGAGCCGTTTGCCAACATGTCGTATGAGCTGCCGCGCAGCCTGCTGAAGCCCATCCCGCCGCTGCCTCCGATACCCGCCGACACCCGTACGACTGCGAATGTGGAGAGCTATAACTATGGGTTTATACCAATCGGACGATTGCATAACATCAGCAGTCCCATCACCCAGATACGCATTTACAAGGTGCACATCATAGCGGCATCGGAGAACGGCGATGTCTTCATGTTCAACATCGCCAGTCACAAGCTGGAGCGCCAGATCACCAAGCACAGCGAGGCCATTACGAATATGTTTCTGTGCGAGAAGGAATCCTTTTTATACACCACATCCCTGGACGGGTTCCTCAAGAAATCCTCCCTCGAGGTGCGTACCTGTAAGACCTTTAAATATCTATCGATTTCTATACCCTTCTAATCCCCAGCAGAATCTGGAGCGTGTCATGCAGACAGTCTACCTAAAGGAACCCCTACAATCTATTGACATCGAGTGGGGCGTTGCGTTTATTGGCAGCCGTTGGGGCAATATTTTTACATACAATATTGCGGTAAGTCTTTTAATATTTTCAAATATAACAGCCACAAAATATAATTAGAAATTGAGTATTTTATGAAGTAGAGTAATATTTAAAGAATTTCTAAAAAAAATCCCTAAAATGATCAACATTTTGCCGATTTAAAAATCTTGCCAATATCGGTTTCTTCTTTTTAAATAATATTTTCGATCCGATTGGAAATCTGTATTACACCCGCAATAGTGAAAATTTGGGGGAAATTTTGCCACTTTTTTGCTTATGATCGGATCGGCTGCCAGAATGTTTGAAAATTGTAAAACTTGTCAAAAATGTATCAATTTATCTACAGTTTTCACCTGTCCGAAAATGAAATTCTATTGATTAGAATAGGCATTCCGTAAATATAGAAATATGAATTAATTGAAAATCAACTGAGCTGTGCATGAATCATCCATCCATGAGTAAAGAAAAGTATATATGAATTAATTGATGTTAATATGAATTAATTGATGTTAATGTTCGCGATGCACGCTTCCAATTCTTTTAAACAATTATTTCGTATTTCGCCAACAAATGTGTTGCATACTTCAAGGCGCCATTTTCTACTTACGCTATACCTACCTGGACGCGCATTTAATTAATGTGCGGCTCATTAAATATTTAGCTGTCAAATAAACACTTGAAAATATTCAATTAAAAAGTGAATAGCTCTGACTACGGCGACTACGGCACACACTCCTCCACGTGGTCGTGTCCACACCTTGCCCATCGGCGGGAGCCAAGTGTAGCAAGAAAAACAAGGAATTGGCATTAAGCAGCCATCGAACGAACCCAATGTCTAGACAATGAAAATCAAATCGAATTTATTTTTTCTTTCGCATTTCGCTAGCGATATACGCAAATTGGATGTGGTGCGGTGGTGCGATGGTGCGGTGGTGCGGATGATGGTGCAAAGCTGGCACTTCATTACAATTTTACGCTGAGGGCGAAGGCGATAAGTCTTAATTTTTTGGCAGCGTTCGATTTATGGCTGCGACGTGCGGATAATTCACGGCCGTTGCCTAAAAGTGTGCTTCAGAAATTTTCGCGCAGCATGCACCAACTGCTACTATGGCGACTGTACTTTTGGCCATAGAGCTGTACGTGTGTGCATGCCTTTAGTTATTTACTAAATATTAAGCTTCACCTAAACATCAGCCACGCCCCGCTGCTATAGACCCAACCCGCTGCATATATGCATGCAAGAAGGCGTTGCTTCTTGCACTATTGCTTTGCTGCTATTGCTTGATATTTTGCTGTCGCCGTGTTGTGTGTTTTTATTTTGTGTGCGTTTGGCTTTGCTGCACGTTGCTTGGCCAAAAACCTAATACATAGTTGTATATAGGCAAGGCTGGGGGTTAGTTGCAACAAACAACAGCAAGCTGCAGCGCAGGCTGCTTGCAGCGCGAACGGTGGCAGCATTGCAAATTATCCCCCTCTCAATAGCGTTCGTTTTCGTTTTCGTTTTCTCGCTCACACGCACACTCGTTCCCTATTGTTGTTTATTTAAGTTTTTATGTGTTCATGTTTAGTTTACTGTATATTTTGCTGACTCACACTTGCTCGCGCACTGCAACGTTTATTGCCCGCTCGTGCGCTCTCTCACACTCTCAGCTCTGGTTCGGTGTCAACAGACGGCACGAGGCTGTTAAGCGTTCGTCGCTCTTCTAGCACACTGTAATGCGCATGTCTCTTTCTGCTGCAGTTTCTTGTTGCTGCACAAACCGTTAGCTGGTTATCTGTGTGTTTCTTGCACTCATTCGTTAGATTCGACGTCGCGACGACGACGCCAGCATCAGCAATTTGGCAGTAGCAAATAAAATGTTTATATGCTATTTACTCAAAACAATTTTAAATAAAATACAAACTATGTACTCACAACTAGCTCTCACTCACGCTTGTCCGCGCTCTCTTATCCTCTTTCTCTCTCTCACTCTCATTTTGTCGGCTCTCGCTCTCTCTCTGTCGTTCGCTTATTGCAGACAAGGCCTTCCAAGGCACTGCAATTGGAATGTCTTCGGGCCTGTCGTTGTGTGTGTGTTGTTGTTATTCCCTTTATTGTTGTTGTGGGTGGCCTTTCTTGCTGGTTGGCTCCTGTTTTGTTGTGTTGTGTCTCTGGAAAATGACGCCGCCTGTCTGTATGTCTATGTGTGCATGTGAATGTGAGTGTGGCAGCGCCGTTTTCTCATTGGCTGGGTCTGGCGAATCGGGTTGGTTATCAGCCCAGGTCCCGATGTATGTAAGTGTTGCTCGTTTATATTGTTATTTTTGTTGTTTTGTAGCAACGGCATCCGACGCAGCAGCAAATTGCATACGGCCTTCGGTCTTTGTGGGTGTGGCAGGCGTACTTGCAACCACTAAATAAACAAAGCAACGCAACGGCAACGAAATTGAGGATTTTAGGTGCGCCTCCAGCAATTTTAACTACATTTCTGTATTTGGTTGTGTTTTTTTTCTCCTTTTCTTGCACTCTGCAGTTGCAGGCGAACAGACGACGCCATCTTGCAAAAGCCCCATCCATAACTGTACATATATACACACACATACGTATCTATGTATCTATGTGAACTGCAGTGCCTCCTTCTCCATCTCGCTCTATTTTAATGTTGTTGCAATTATAGTGCCTTCCATGTTCTATATGTTTGATCAGAATTTGATACGAATAAGGTGTAGGAGTCAGAGGGTGTACGCATTAATCATAGGATGAACTCCTGGCACCTCCCGTTGTTTGTTTTCAGTTTTAGTTTCTGCCCGCTTTGACCACAGAATTTTCTAGATGTGGCTAACTCAACTTTATTTAGCCTAATGGCTTCTGGAAAGTTCTCTAACAATCGAGAATGTTAATTAAAAGAGTTGTTTAATAATATCTGAGATATCATCAATATTAGACTATCTAATGAGTTTAAAAAAAAAATATCATCCAAAATGTAGTTCAACACTTTGGCGTATTTCCAATTCTATAGACTTAAAGCAAAGGTTGGTTGTATTTATGAACTACAACATCAAATTGCTGATGATTACTTGATTTCACTTGAGATTCGGTTTTTATAATTTTGTATGTGATCTTATACGGAGCATCAAAATTAACATTTCCATTATATAGAGAGTGTTTTCTCCTAAAGGGAACTGTTGTATACAATTTTTTTTTTTTTTTTTTTTTATTAAGTGTAGAACCTGTACAATCATAATTTAGTACCTTAACAACACATGGATAGAAATGTTATTTAGAGCCGAACCCCATAACGTAGTATGAGGATTTTAATGCGGGTGGTCTTACTGGCGCCCAATCGTCTTGGCAAAACCTTGCCGTATGAGTCGCCTTAGAGGTTGGGCAGGGAGTAGTCCTCTGGCGAGCAAGCTGCGGTGTCTCAGCAATCTGTCGCTGTATCTGCTTGTGTGCCTTCCAATCTGTTCTTCGACTGTATGCACTTTGAGGTCTTTATGGATTGTAGAACCGCGTACGTACCAGGGACAGTTGGTTAGCTGTCGTAGTACCCGATTCTGCAGTACCTGTATTCGTTTATAATTTGATTTGGCTGCAATCCCCCAAATCTGCACTCCATAGAGCCATATCGGCAAGATACAGTGCATGTATACAGCTCTTTTGCATCTCAGCGGCAGGGTGCTCCTTTTATTGTTGAGCCACCGCAGTTGTTGCAGTCTGTGGCGACATTTTTTTTTCGTAGCTTTGAGGTGTGGCCCAAAGGTAAGGCGCTTGTCTAACGTGATGCCGAGCTACTTAGCTTGTGGCGGCTTTTGAGGGTGAAGCATAGGTTAATAGTTTTTAACGGGTTAACCTTAAAATTCCACCGTTTGCACCAAGCTGCGAGAGTATCCAGATACCCCTGAAGTCCATTGCTAGCTTCTACGCAACTTTTGGAATTATAAATGACTGCGATGTCGCAATAATAGCCTTAGAGGGATCTTCCATATGTTGAGAGGTAGGGCTGGGTATATCTGAGGTATACAACGAGTAGAGCAGCGGACCAAGAACACTGCCCTGTGGCATTCCTGCTCTCATAGTATAGGTGGACGAGTATGTGTCCCTTACCTTGACCTTGAACTCTCGTGCTTCCAGATATGACCCTAGAAGGCCATAGTACGGTGCAGGTAAAACGTTTTTTATTTTGCACATTAATCCATCGTGCCACACCTTATCGAGCGCTTGCTGCATGTCGATGAAGACAGCGTTTGAGAACTCTAGGTCGTCAAAAGCCTGCATGATGTGCTTCACCAATCTGTGGACCTGTTCCACAGTGCCGTGTCCCTCTCGAAATCCGAATTGGTGATCCGGCAAGATATTGTCTCTCCCATAGTTTAGACAGGGAGGGTAAGAGACTTATTGGCCGATACGACGCAGGATCAGCTTCTGGTTTTCCTGGCTTGTGAATCATCATAATCGCTGCTAGTTTCCATTGCTTTGGGAACACTTGGAGCCGGATAATAGCAATAAAAATTAGCACTATATACAGAAGCGCGCTTGTACGCAGGGCTTTCAGCGTAGCATTACAGATTCTATCGATACCCGGAGCTTTATTTTTCGGCAATCGCTGGATCGTGTCAGTTATTTCTTCAATCCTTATAGGCTCAATAGGCAGGGACATCTGCAGGGGGGTCTGCAGAGTCTGATAGGTCTCCCTGGTCTGCTCTATCGTAGCAAATTCATAAGATCCTCAAGATGATATCCGAAAGCATTAGCCTGTTCCCTTTCGTTTTCAGCAAGTTCGCCACCAGGACATCGGACAGGTACCTGTCTAAAAGGTTGTCGGTTGTATACAATGTTTCTTTTATTATCGACAATATTTATATACTTTTCTTTCGGATCTGTTCTTAAGACACAATCTTTCTCAGAAGGGTTAAACTATCCCCAATTTAATAACATTGTAAATCTTTAACCAGAATTTCGTAAAGATTAGATTTCAATATCATTTGAGAGCATTATATATTTAAAAGCCCAAAGGTAGCTGTTTTTATTGTTCGTATCAGGTTTTTAATCGTCGTGAATCACATTCAATATTTATTCTGTTATCAATTAATTGTAATCAAATTATTTTCTGCTTGAAGGAACAAAAGGTAGTTATCTATAGAAAAAGAGAAAGGTATTGGTGATAAATAAAAGCATTCGTTATAATAAAATAAAGTAAAATAAATAAAATACAGAAATAATGTGAAGCAGTTTATAAAGAATTGAACGAATGGCTTGAGTAAAGTATAGAAATAGAAACTTTCATATATATAGCATTATATACCTAGAAATTTGAGTGAAAAATAAGAATGGAAACTTATTCAAGCAATGCTAACAAATCTTTTATTGGCCTGCCCAGCAAGCTTAAACAGAGAAGTGTCTGCAAGTTTTGCCCAATAACATATACATATATTATTAACAAATCAAAGCAGTTTGTAAAATAATTATGTCACCTTTATGTGCAGACATGAATATATATCATAAGTACGAACATGCAACACAACCGTGATTTCATACAACTCAATGCAAAAAATTGACGATCGTTCAGCTTACAGGTGGAACTTTGTTTTCTACATGCTTAAAGGCAGGTTTATTTTTCAATAATTGATTTGTTATATATATTCAAAATGGCCACTAATATTTAACATCTACCAAATATAGTTGCGTCAATCTTTGGTCCCCAAGTTATTTAAGTAAAACTAAGTCGCCTTCAGAAGTTTTTCGTTTCGAACCAAACAAACAACCAAAAAAGTTTGTTTGAAAAATATCTTCCCTATGCAAAATGAATGCCATAATTTGTGAAAACCCAAATGGTATAATTGCTTTGCAAAGAATCTATAAAAGGCTTCAATTTAATTCCTAAAATTCCTAAAACAATATCTAAGTAAATATTACATTGACAATAAATAATAACTTTTAAAAATCGAATGTAGCTGTAGCGCAGGCGAATAAAAGGGCTATCTTATCTTTGATTTGTTAAATTGGAAACAGGCTCCAAAGTATATTGAAGATAGTCAAATATATTATAAATAGTTTTCAGCCACAAATCTATTAATAAACATCTTAAAAGCTCTCTGCCAATGTGGACTACTTATAGACTTGGCGAGCGTACAACATATGGAAAGAGAAATGATATCAATTTGTTTCTCTCATGACGTTGCACATTTGAATCAACAATAAATACAAATTACAATGCCAAGCACATTCAGTCAGTAAATCGAATTTCGTGGTATTAGGCATTTTAAAGCAGTTGACAAAGCTTGTATGGGCCAATAAAAGCAGGGCATGTACAACGGGGATGTAGCTCAGATGGTAGAGCGCTCGCTTAGCATGTGAGAGGTACGGGGATCGATGCCCCGCATCTCCAGGAGTAAAAGATCTAATTTTTTAGTTTTTTTTTTTAATTAACGAAATTTCAAAAGTAAAAAGGATTTACTCTTTGCATTTGCAGGCCAACAAAGTGATGGACATGCCTCTGCTGTCCACTGGGCAGTCGATTATCGCTGTCAAGGCCACCAAGGAGGGCGTGCGCAAAATAATTCTGCTAGGCTGCAAGGGAAACTTTGTATTCATGCACGATGCGGCCACCGGCTTGCTGTTGCGTCGTCTTAGCATACCCGATGGTCTCAATGTGTACAGCTTACTGCTGATTGATGGTCACGTCTTTTGTGGCACACAAAAGAATGAGGTGTTCAAATTCGACTTTGCCGTGAGTAATATCTGAAAGACAAGCATATATTTGAAGGCTAATTTGCTACTCTCAACTTATATGCAGAGCGGTTCGATGACCAACACGCTGAGCTGCGGTAATGGAGCCGTCGCCATGGCCCCATATGGAGAAAGATACTTGCTCATAGGCTGCTACGATGGCTTCATCTATGTACTGAACAAAGAAACTGGCCGTCAATTGGGTCGTTTCAAAGGACCAGGACGTTTGGTTCTTGCTCTGGCCATCGCCGGCGATAAGGTAGCCATTCGATATATCTAAAAACGGGCTGTAGATTAAATAAACTTTTGGTGTGCTCGCAGGTCGTCACTTCGTCAAAGGACAACTCCTTGGAAATATTGGAAATACCGTCAGAATTGTTCAATCTGGATCAGTCGACTTAAAACTGAGTGATCTTTAATTTTAATACAAATTCTATTTTCTGAAATGTTCGACTAAGTTATAGATTTTAAAATAGTCCTTTCACTAATTTAAGTTAGGAGCTTTTCTTTTGTATTTACAATTAAAAATGTTTAAGTTAAAGCTCTGTATTATTGTGTTAGCGGTTAATATGATTGAAGAATATTTCTTTACCGCATTAAATAACTAAATAGAAATCAAAATTTAATGTATAAAATGTATATTTATATTTTATGTAGGATGCTAAGGAATACGTATTGCTTGTCAGGTTTTATATGATTTTTAAGGGATTTGCGGCACACGCACTGGACGCACATTCGTTTGCATTTGATGCAGCTTCTGGTTAAGTTTGTGGGTATGATCCCTCAAGTAGGCAATGAGGTCCGCTTGCTTCTCAAGCAGCTCGGTTGTATCACCGCCAGGCTGCATAAGGCCCAACGAGCCACCGGCACGATCGGCACCACGCAAAACATCCGGCGACAGCTTAGCCTTGTTGAATTTGCGAACCTTATCTGCAGGACATTACAGGAAACGCATAAGTTTTCTTTTCAAATCTAGCTTACGGTCATAACTACCTATATAGCAGCCATGGGTGGCAGCGAGCACCAAATTCTCGGCCACATTAAAAGCGGTGACATAGCTTATAGGCGACAGCCAGCCGGCGGCGCAGTGCGTCCAAAACTGATCGCCATAATAGTGATGGATCATCGCTTGTACGGCCAGCAGCATAGAGTTCCACAGTGAAACAATTTGCAGTGGGATTCCTTTCTGCATGTTCGTATCGCGATGGAAATCGTGGTAGCCATTCAGGCGTAAATTGTCATGTTGCTTTTTCACAAAGTGATCGAAAATCTGCAATAATCATGTATATAGGTCGTTAGAGCAAATACGTATTTATACACCTGCTACTCACGAAGGTGATCAACCAGAATGTGGCGCGAAGGTAGAGCATTATAAAGTAGGCCTCGCAGCGGCGATCCTCGGACCAGAGCGCGCCCAGGCCAATGCCCACACATGAAATGACCGTGGAGATAACCAAGTGTATGCTAGGGAACACAAATACATACGGAATGTATTAAATTTCATTGGTATATGTTAATTGAGTTGCGCAGCTGATATCAGCAAATGCATCACCCCTTTCACAGTATGATTCATAGCATCACCGGCAGCCTGCATACATACATACCTGAATGCGGGCACAGTTTTCAGCTTAAATGAACCATTGTCGTCCGAGAACAATACCGGATCGAGCAGTTCATCTGTGTCCTGGTTATGGATGTGCGCACCACCGGTCGCTATAGCTGCGCCTGTTGCTTCATTATCCATTTTCGGTTGTTGTATGTGTATTTTTCTCGGTATCAACTGCGCAGCACCTAATACAAACTCGCTTTGTTTGTTATTTGTTGGCGGTGCGCTTGGGACTGACACAATTTTGGTGTTGCCAGACCGCTGTCAAAGTATTTTACTCGATACTTGCTACAGAAAAAATTCGATGGTTATTAATGGGATAAAATATCGATGGTTAATAATGAATATTCAAAAATATACAAATCGGAAAACCATAAAAATATTTGAATTTTTTATTGAATTAATTAGATTGAAATACTGTGTTATGTGTTTTCAAGCTATATTTTGCAAAAGAAAATATAAGTCAATTTTATCTTGATATCTATATATATTTAAATTATTGATAACAATAATAAGGAAATCGATTTAACATATATCGATATAAAGAGTGCTGGGATCGATGTATCGATTACACAATAGCAACCCTAAGAAAATTAAACAGTCCGAGGGATTTGTTGATGCACAAATTCAAATTGAATTGTGACCCAATTGTAAAACAAAATTGCGAAAAAAAACAACTACTGATTATAAATGACTACACCTGCACCACGCCATGTTCGAGATTTGTTGGCATTTGGTACAGACTCAGAAGATGAATACAGCATTACACCCTGCAAGCCGCAAAAAACAAAGGACGCGGATCAAGCTGGTAGCCGGAAACTGGAAGCAATGTAAGTTATTGCCATAAACAAGTGCAATTGCCAACTAGCTTAAATTGCAGCGACAATGGAAACAAGGAGAATATGGATCAGAAGGGCATTGCGCGCAACCAAGGGGCCAAGGAGAACCGGCAAGCTGGCCCTTCTCACGGCCTATTGTAAGTGTGCTTCCTTGGATAAGGATAAGCTGATTGCCAGAATTTCATTCAGCTTTCAATTCCAGCCCCAGAAGACGTGCAGAGATGACCATGCTGGACTCAGACAGCGATGATGAGGATAATAAGAACAACCACAATTTGAACTGCGCCATTCTAAACGATTCCTTTGTGCTGAGTCCTACACATGAGCTGACTGGCAGCACCTCAACTGTACCTTCCACAGCGGCGGTGGCACTGCGCCCCAGTGATTCCAATTTGTCGTTTCTTGGACGCTTTGGGAACATGGACATCAATTGCAGCACCAACACCAATAAGTCACCTCATCTGCAAGTGGAGCAGCAACATAAACATCAACAGCCAATTAAAAAACCGCCACCCTCCACGCTGCAAATAATTTCAGAGCAGCGCAAGGCCGTCGATAGCGAGACGCCGATGCGTGCAGCTCCAGCGGCCTCTTTGAAGTCCCATGCCAAACCTGAGACGGAATTTGTGACGCCCCAAGTGTGCAGCATTTCCACAAGGCATGGCACGCGCACACAAACCACACAAAAAACTCGTATCGAACTGGCAAATGAGTTTCGTTCGCAGAAGGTGCTCTTCCAGACGCCCATGACTGTGAGTCGCGCGGCGCCCTTTACAAGTGACAGCCTTACGTTTTCGCTATGCGACACAATTAGTGAGAGTCCAGATACGCCCGCTCAGCCACGGCCAAAGGCAGAAGCGCCCACCGCCAACAAATCAAAAAAGTCACTTGATGGTGCATTTCGTCATGCTGAGCAGGCGAAGCCTGAATCGGGCTCGTCAGTTGCAGTGTCAGTACCCGTGTCCGCGTCCGTGTGCGCACCTCTGACCGCTGCTGCTGTAGTACCTGACAAACCAGATACATCGTCGAAATCGAATTCCAATGTGCTGCAAATCAAGAACCACGAGTATGTCATAGTTAAAAAACTGGGCTGTGGCGGCTCAAGTTCTGTTTATTTGGCACGTCGCAAGGATACGGGCCAGGAGTTTGCTCTAAAAGTTGTAGATCTGCAAGCCGATCCGGTTGTGGTGCAGGGCTATCTCAACGAAACCAAACTGCTCGAAAAGCTCCAGGGCAATGTGTGCGTTGTCTCCCTCTATGACTAGTAAGTAAATATTACTTTAAAACGAATTAAAGACTTAAACATGAAAGAAGAGTTCGATCTCGATCGTCAAGCTTATAAGTACTATATGCTTGTGAAATCTCCATCAAAAGTTTTCTTAACTACATTTTTGACCGTAAATTTCCAGATGCAGTAGCCAAATTGATCGGTTAAACTTGTAAAAAAAATGCCTAGACTAGAATTATTCAAAAAGCTTAATTCCAAAATAACTTAATTTGGCTTGGATTTCAATCTGAGAGGAATATTTTTATTTTCAAAAACAATATATGTCCTTGATTCGTATCAACAGCTGAGCCAAGCCGTGGTCCACCTGTCTATATGTCAGTCTCTTATGAGTCTTTTGTCGTCTCTTAGTTTTGAAGCTAGAGACGGTTTAAAGCTGAGTCGTATTAATCGGACCACTATATCATCGCAAATTGGGATAAAGAAACTTTTTAATATGTCTTCAATCTTCCACATCATATAGTATAGTCTTATAGCAAAAACTAATCCATTACTGTCATTGTTTAACTTTGATTGATAAAAAAGTAATCTAAAGTTTCTTATTGATTGAAATTAACTAATGTTTGATCTCCGTTTTCTACTTAGTCAATTGTTGCGGCAAGAATCGAAACTCTATATGGTGATGGAGAAGGGCGACTGTGACTTGAACAAGATCTTGCAAGGATTTACGACAAATCTGCCACTATATAATCTGATGAACATACTCTACCAAATGCTGCAGGCAGTCAATTATATACACCAGAACGGTGTGATTCATTCGGATCTGAAGCCTGCTAATTTTCTGATGGTTAATGGTCGGCTGAAGCTAATCGATTTTGGCATTGCAAGCAACATTTCTGTGGACTCGACAAGCATTATAAAATTCTCACAGGCGGGCACATTCAACTACATCAGTCCGGAAGCACTTACCGACATTTCCAGCGGCACAAGTCCGATGCGCGGCAGCAATCAGCCCAAGATAAAGATTTCGACAAAGTCGGATGTTTGGTCGCTCGGCTGCATTTTGTATTTGCTGCTATATCAGAAGACTCCATTCGGGCACATTAGGAACATCAATGCCAAGATGAGCGCGATTGCCAATCCCAGCTCCAGCATCGAGTATCCGGCTCTACCAATATACTATCCGCTGATGCTAGTGCATGTGAGTACATAGATGGGCTCGATTCAATAATATGCTGAGCTAAAACCTTTTTATATTCCGCACAGATGGTCAAGCATTGTCTACAACTGAATCCGAAGAAGCGGCCCTCGTGCGTAGAACTGCTTCAGTATCCATTCCATATGGTAATTCCCTTACAGAATCTACAATTGGCGTCCAAGCGCTGACTACAAGTTTTCAGAATACATCTTCATTTAGTATTAAGCACATTTACATTTGATGATAGGAGTAAAACACAGAAATATAATGCACTGAATTTTCATATGTGTGTGTGTGTGTGTATGTATTTAATTCTCGTTTAGCATAAATGATACATCATAAATATTTATAATGCAGCGCACAGATCTCCAGATTTATTTATACTCCAACGATCGATCGATCAGAAAGCTATCTGTGACCTGTTTGCATTTGTTTTATTTTATTGTGTATTCAATTTGTTCTTGTCTAACTTTTAATGTAATGCAACAAGTATTAACATTAATTGCCAATTTGCTTTCCTTTACCTTTACCCTTCGCACAACAATTTTAACGGCGATGCGTTTTGTGTGTGTTGCATTTGTTTGTAATTTGCGTTTACTTAAAAATTAAGTTTGTTTTTAATCATTTTCTTTTATATATATATAAAAATAGTTTTTTGTTTTTGTTTTATTTATCATATGCTTAATTAAATGTTGCTGTTGTGGGCTAACCATTTGCTCTACTAACATATTTACTGCTGCGGCTACATTGAATACTTTGCGCTGTTTACAAAATGAAACGAACTAAATTTAATACACGATGGACATACAATTTCTCTAACGGAACAAAGTATACTAATACGAATTTCTGCACAATTTTCCAATAGTTTTTGTTTTGCTTTTATGATTTTATTAAGTAGTTGCGATCCAAGTAGACTGTAAATTCATTTGCTTAACATAATAAAACATATACAAAAATGTGAGCGCGCACTCTTTAGTGGTTTTTTAAATGCAGGTAAACACAAATAATATAGCATAATATAATATAATATATAATATATGTGTATCTATATAAATAATCAAAATTACAAACATGTTTTATGTATGTGTGTGTGTGTGTGTGTATGCGCATGCAAGTGCAACAGCAGCAATTTGTGAACCTGTGCGTGGCTTCAGTCGCACGACGCCCTTGCCTAACCAGCAAGTCCTTGCAGCAGCCGCACAGCTAACAGGTCCTTCGCCGGCCGCTGGCCATATACTCATCATTTCGAATAATAATAATAATTCACTCCTTCGCTTCACATTTAAGTGTTCAACATTGCACGAGTTTTGTTTGCTTTCTTTAGTTATGTATATATATATATGTATATATATATATATATAATTCATTAAAGCCTTACTTAATTACTCCATTTATTTATTTTTTTCTACTTTAAAATGTTAAATGTTGCTGTTGTTGGGCTCGTATATTTTTCCTCTTTTTGTTCTCTTTTGTAGTTTTTTTTTTTGTATTTTTTTGTTGTTTTTTTTGTGTTATGCTTCAAATATATGTAATATTAAACTTTAAACTTAATAGATTGTTAGAATTGTTGTTGTGGTTGTTGTAGTTTTTTTTTCTTTTTGGAAGTTCGACAAACGTTAAGATTGTTGTCAATTATCGTTGTGGTTCTGCTATTTATTAAGGGCGGCGCTTTGTCGCGGCGACATTAAATGTCCTGAAATTGTCAAAGGATATTACAACTATTTGATCGAATTAGCTTTGCGAACAGCTTTGCTTACCTGCTCGCCATTTGAGGCATGCTGCTGCAGCTTGGATATGAGCTGATCCTTTTGACTGACAATGCCGCGCCAGTGCTCGTCCTGTTCGCGTGCCCGCTGCTCCAAGTCCACCAGAGTGTTGCTCTGCACACAGAATATCATATTAGAAATGTGTTATTATTCTTACATTTATTCAACTCTGCCGCTTACCGTCTTTGTGACCAGCTGCGTGAGCTCATCGTTGCGCTTGCGCAGCTTTAGGTTCTGTGTGTGCAGCTCCTGCTGCTCGGCAGCACTAGCACTAGCGGAAGATTTGCTATTCGAATTACTATTATTGCTACTAATATTGTTGTGGGTGGTGCTATTGTGGTCGCTGTTGCTGCTGCCGCCGCTGTTGCTTGATTGTGTGGACTTATGACTACTGCTCTGCGCTGCCGGCAGCTGCTGCTGCTTCTGTTGCTGCTTGATGTGTGTGGCGAGCACCTGCTCGAGCCACTCGTCGAAGGAGGCATTCAGTGCGTTGGCAGCATGTGCCTTCACAGCATCAGGATACAAGCGCTGGTACAGCTCACGTATGCGCTGCTGTTCAGCCTTTGCCGAGCTGCTGGCGGCCGCGCTCAGCTCGCCTCCATTGGCGGCAGCTGCCTTTAGCTGCTGCTCTTGATGCTGCTGCTGCTGCTGCAACTGTTTATGTTGTTGCTGTAAGTTGTGAAATAAAATAAAAGGATAACATTAGTAAGTTTGCAAGGTAAGACAACAATTTAGAGAAATAGCAAGTATGTCCAAATCGAAAATTATACTGAAATGGAATCATCTTAGCAATTGAGTTAGTTTATTTTTAAAAGGTTTTGCCTTTCAACCTTAAACTTTTTAGCAATTATTTAGTACTATTATCATTACTACCAGAAATAGGACCTATTTTTATCTCTGTAAATGATTAAATTATAGACTAAGCCCAAATCGTTACAATACATATCAAGCAGTATTGGGACACTCTACTGTAAATATTAATATATAAAAAGAAAAAGGATATAATAATTTGTTGTTGCATGCACTTACGCCTAAACTTTGCGCTGTATTTGTTTTCGTCTTTGCTGTTGTTGTGGTTCTGGCGGTTGCTTCGGCATTTTGCAACGCTTCAATCAACTTCCAATTTTTCATACGAACGTCCTGACGAAACACAAATACGTGGCAATTAGTAAGAAAGAGGGAAGCAGTATTAAATAAGGAGTAACAAAAGCAACAGGAAACAAGGAACAAAAAGTTATTGTAGATCTAGATAACATTTAAAGGACATTTTATAATACGTGTAGTACATATGCCAAGGATATTATCGTGTTGCCAACTATTTGCGAGCCTTGTAATTTATAATCCTCATATGGTATTAGTATAAGAGTTATTCGCAAATATGGAACAGGATTGGAGTCATAATGAGAGTTAGTTCTCCAGTTGTATTCAAAGAGTTTAACTTACATTATTTTTCTCGCGCTGCTCCTGCAGCTCCTGCTCCAGCTGTCGCTCCCTGGCCTGCAGCTGCTCGGCGCGCTGTTGCGCCTCCTGGAGCTGGGAACGCAGATCGGTGGTCTGTTGCTGTTGCGTGGCCTGCACATCAGTGAGCGTGCGCAGCTCTGCCTGTAGGGTGGTCAGCGCCTCGGACTGCGCCTGAGCCTGCTCCGACTGCTGCGCGGAGGCCTGCACTGCCTGGCTGTTGGCCTGGCTGAGCTGCTGGTTAAGACTGACATTGCTGGCTTCGAGTGAGGCCGCCTGTTGACGTAGCCCAGGCAGTTCTGTGCTGCAGACGCGAGCTAGCTCGCCTTGAGACTGGGCCAGCTCAGCCTTGGCAGACTCCAGAGCATTGTTCAGATTACGCAGTTCCTCTTTGAGTTCGGCGTTCTCCGTTTCGAGCTGCTTGCGCTGCTCCAGCTCAAACACGCTGTTGTTGAGGCGCGCCTCCAGTTCGTCGCGCTGCTGCTCTAAGGCGTTCAGCTGCTGGGCCTGCTGCTGCATGACTTCGTTCTTCTGCTGTGCCTCGGCATTTACAAAGCTGGTCATGTCCGCAATGATCTTCTCTTTGTGCGCAAGATCTTGCTGTAGGCGCTGCAGCTGCGGCAGCAGATCCTGCGAGCTGGCCTGCTTTTCGCGCAGCAGCTTCGCCTGGAACTGTTGGCGTTCCAATGCCAGTTTCTCATTGGCACTGGCCAGCTCCTGATTGAGCGCCGCGAGCTCCTGATCTTTGCTTTGCAGCTTCTCATTGTACGCCTGGCTGCGACTGTGTATTTGGGCGCGCTCCGTGTTAATCTCCTGACGCAGTTCACGCAGCTTGGCTTGGATGCCAATGGAAGCCTCCTGCTCCTCGGCTAGTTGCTTCTCCTTCTCCTGCAGCTGACGCCTCAGCTTCTGGCATATGTCATCGGACCACTCGCCGTGATTGGCGGGCATATCTTGCTGCTTGTTAAGCAGATAATCAATGAGTATTTGTATCTCGGAACGATTCAGTTCGGCACGCGCAAAAACATTCATCAGCGCGGAAACACCGATAGTCTGATGCTCGGCGAGCTTGTCCAGAGCCTGCACCAAATCCTTGGCGGTCAAGGACGTCTCCTTTTGCTTCTTGCCAGCATGCGAATTCTGCTGCTGCTTGTTCTTGTTCACATTGTTGTGCTGCTTGGGTGAGCCAGTTGGCTGTTGCTGCTGCTTGAGACTTATCTGCTTGGGCACATGCGGCACCTCCACGGGCTGTTCCATGGCAGCGCTGAGCAGCGCGACGGCAACTGGTGGCTTCTCCTTTTTGGCAGCGCTGCCGTTTTTCTTTTGTGCCTGCTGCTTGGTGTTGGCGCTGTTGTTGTTGTCCTCTTTGCGCTCCTTTTGCTCCTGTTTCTTCAGCTCGACCACATCTTTGGGCGCACGCACCTCAAAGTTGTTTAGAGCCGGCGTTTCCTCTACAGGGGTTTGCCGAACGGAAACGGGTTCGTTCTTGTTTACCAGAATTCCAACAGCTGGCTTGGATCCGGCAACGTTGCGCTTGTCCTTTTTACCTTTTTTGCTATTGTTGTTATTGTTGTTGTTGGGTTGATTTTCCTTTTCGGCATTGCTTGAGCGGCGCTCGTCCTCGGTCATGACCTCTGGATCTGGCTCGAATTCCACATGCTGCTTGGATAATCCGGGCTGTGTATCCTCTTCCAGTCCAACCGAGCCCTGCTCCTCGGAATGCCCATCGGAATAGTCGTCCTGTTCCTCCTGATCATTGTTGCTGGCCGTGTCCTTTTGCTGCTCCCGCTGGCGCTGCTTCTTCTCGCGCTTCAGCTCCTTCTTCTTGGGCTTGCGCTGAGTCGACCCATTGCCGCCACTCTTGTTCTGAGCATACAAATTGGCACTCAGTGCACGCTTCTCGGCCACAACCTCCTCGAATGTTTTGCGCCTGAAGATCTTGTTGATGAACAGAAACGACAGCAGCGATGCGCCGAACACACAACCAATGACAATCAGTATGTGGAAATCCATATTTGCATACTTTGCCGGCAGCAGTCAAAATTTGTATGTAGAGCGCTGTTCTTTTTCTTATGCGGTTTACTGAAACAGACAGAATAAATACAATGTGAGAAGTGCAAAGAACAAGTATTAACACGAAACCTCGTGAAGAGGAGCCTTCGAAGGTATATTTGTCGATCCATTCCGCATTTTCTTCCTTAAGCTTTTATTACTATCTTATAGTTATTGTTTAATTGTGTCAGAAAGGAAATGGACTAGGCAACGCATTAAAAACACTTGGCTTAAAACATCTTTTTTTTTTTGACTCACATTAATTTTTACTCATTACCTCTCGAAAATCCGTATCAATGAATGTTTTACACTTAATAGTGTAACAATTGTTAATAAAACTAATCAATTTTTTAAGGAGCGGCACATAATTGAATTAAGTATTAATAAGTATCTTGGCTAAGTGAATTTCAGAAATGTTGTTTGCCGTCAAAAGAGATCTTTGTCGACAACTGATTATTCTTTCATTTGGTTTTCTTGTTCTTTTGCGTACTTTATCAGCACTCGAAGAGCTTTTTTCGGGATTACTGATGACGTGTGGCTTTGCCATTAGTGAATGGCTGTTGGGCTGTTCGAAATATTTCACATTGAACAAAAAAACAAGATCAACGACATAACAATCGAAAGCAATTATAATTGTCATCCACTCGAAGCTTTCACATGCATGTGTGTTGGTGCGTCTGCCTTGTAAAAATGGGCATGGTACGTGCTTATCAGTTTGCCGGCCGGTGAATGATACCAACAAAATATTATTGTTATCGTCTTTGTTGTTTGACGTGTTGAAAAAATATATGGACTTGTTTATATCGTGTATTGTTTATTGTGCTTTCCTTTCGTAATTGAGATAGCAGTTGCACTTTATACATATACATACACACACATGCACATTTGCAGTGGTGGTCAGTGCTGGAATATTCCAGGCTAGGATCGATGACAGGCATCGATAAGTGCTCGGCAGCTTTGTCTTTCGATTGCCTGAGCTTAATTAATTTCCGTCGAATATCGAACAAACTCACAGAATAACTTGTTTTGCCAAGAAACCTATTTATAAAGGCCGTCAATTTACTTTTTTGCATAAAGTTTAGTGGTTACCAAAAAAACAAAAAAAAAATGCCCACAATTAAAAAACACCAAAGAAAGACTTGCAAATTTAACAGGAAATTCCGTTACATACATACATATACACGCCACCTTTTGACGCACACGTATGCAAAATATCAAAAGCCACTCACTAAAGCAGATATGTGCGATCTTCTACACTTTTTCCCAAAGAGCGCTTGTACGGCTCTTGTGCAGAGCGTCAAATGGACACAACACGAATGACAGAAGGCGGCGACCAGCAGCGACGACAACGACGAAGCCAGCGCTAAAGCTCAGCTCAGCTCAGTGTTCTCTTGTGCTCTTTGCTCTATCGCTCACTCGCTCGCTCACAGAAACGGTGGCCGCATACAGTTAGAACTTGAAATTTCAAGTGTGCTCCATAAGTTGTTGGCTGCTGGCACAAATTGCAAATTCAATTCAAGGTTGTTGCTCTTTCTCTCTCAGCAAGCAACTGGCTGAAATCGGCGTCATGTTTTTTCTTGTCTCGCTCAGGTTTGCTTGACATAAGAATCTGAGAAGCTCCAACTTAATAAATTTTTAAATTACTTGCATATACATTTTACTACAACTGAATAAGCACATACATATGTACATACACAAGTATGCAAGCTAAACTTTGTTGGTATGTGTGTACATATGTATGTATTTGCATTCCATGTGTGTGCGTATTTGGTTGGGGACTCACAGGAGTACATTTTTACTTTCTCTCTTATCTTCTCTGCTCCGCCGGCAACCCGCTGTGTCAATATTGTCTCATTTGCGCACTTTAAATTCCAGTTAATTTTGATTACTGCGCTGTTGACTTGCAGTGTGAACTGATAGAGATGCGTCACTAACAACGCAAACATACCGATAGCCAGAGCCCACAATTTCTGTGACGTCGACTTGGCTTCTCTAATGATCGTTTTGGCATTAAACATTTAACAGCTCTGTGCTAAATATGTGCCAGTCAGAACGATTTTACTGGCTGCGGCTGCTTTTCAGCTATTCTTCAGTGATGCCAACAAAGGCGGGCATTTCTTTGAGCGTCCAGCGGCCGTAAAGAAGAAACTACAAATAAAAGCCGGTAAAGGTCATCAACCGGAAGAACGCCGCTGTGGAATGTGCTCAACTGTGTACGTACATACATACATACATACATACGTAATTAAGCGTGTTTGTGTGAAAGTCAAAACTAGCGGAGGCTACGGTTGCTGGCACAGCTACGAGAAAGAGAATTATAATCAGCTAAAGCAACAACTTCTGCAACAAGTATACATGTATGTGTATGTGTGTGCCTCAATAATTATGTATGTTTATGGGCGAGTCGTTTGCTAAATTTACTGCTGTCCTGGTTACGAGCTGCGGCAACTGCAAATTTGGCCCAATTTTGTTGTTGTTCAATTAGTCGGAAAAAGCAGCCGCTGCCCATATGCAATTTTTCACTCACACCCTTCTATTGGTGTAACGGCGACGCTGCAAGTGCTCGCCACTCTCTCGTTCTCTCACTCACACAAAAACACACTCACACTCATTCTGGTTTTTTCTTTTCGTTTGTTGGCTTTGTTTTATGTTATTCATAAATGCAATTTTGCTTTTGCTATTTTTGATAGTCACGCCGCCGCGACGGGCAAGTGATAAATATAGAAAGTACTCCACGTTATTTATTTATGTTTATGCAACATGCAATGTTATGTGCGCTTTAATAAAGAGAGCGTGCTGTGCGAAGAGTGTTGCGTGGGAGCATCAAGTTCGTTGCTGACGATACCCATTTTCTCTTTTAGGTAGGTCACTAAAATCCAAATCAGAGTACCGAAAGTCGCATTTAACAATGACTCACTCAATATTTCTTAGAAACAAATATTTCGAAAATTTATTCACTTTAATTATTATTGATTGTTGACGTGCCGCAGCCGCTGTTTATTATCAATAGTATTTAAGAAAATCAACTTCTATGCTTATCGCATGAATGAAAACTACATTCATTATTTCCGATTATTTTTGAGAGAAACTGTCAGGCTGAGTGTGAATGGAAGGGTAGCCGAAGGAACGGAGGAACAGGGCTGGCGGCTGCTGCTTGGTCTGCCAACAATGTGTAAATGTCAAAAGAAATGTGCACACAAATGAGGACACACATATTACGAGTGCAACTTATAGGGGCCAGCACATCAATTATGTTTATTTCTTGTTTGATAAAATCGTAACAAAGGCAAAGAACAGCCACATACTCACACTCACACACTTACACAGATACATATGCATGTGTAGAACCGGGTCTGTTAGACAGCGCCACACAAGCTCTTGGCAAATCAAATTCAAATGTAAGAAATAAATATTTTCAGCTGCTGCCCGTCCGGTGGGTTTAACTATTTATTATTTTGCACTTTAATGTCATTTAATTAATTTGCATCGAGTGAAAGTATTAATACGAAAATATATTCAACGTGGCTTATTAAGCACCTAATTGGCGAGACTGAGGAAAAGAGAATCATTCGAAATGTATGCGAAACACACACACACGTACACATTTGTATATGTATATATGCTCATGATTATGCCTGCCAAGTGACCTAAACCCGATTTTGTGTGTGCGGCTGTTTGTCTTCGTCTTTTGCCTGATAGATATGGAGCACAGCGAACCAACACACATATTTACAAAAATAGACAACGAAGTGATGGTCCGGATTAAAGTGTGGGCGTTGAAAGTCAGAAGAGATGGATGCAAAAGGGCGACGTACGCAAAGCTCAAGACAAAAGGGCGTCTCTGCCGCTGTCGCCTTTGTCGCACAAAAACAACAAATTCACTGCACTTTACACACACAGACACACACACGTCGAGTAGGCAGAGATAGACCTGCTTTTACTTTTGCAATTACCGTTGGCTTTTTCCACACTTCCAACTTCTTGCAACGTCAACAGTTTTACAACATTTTCACATCAAAATCACAGAGCACTATTTCTGCCTTCACTACACACACAGATACATAGTACATGCATGCAGTTTTTGTTGTTGGGACCATCCGCCATTTGCAAGCTAGTGTTGTAAACGTGTATGTGTGTGCTTGAGTGTGTGTGTGTGTGTAGCGTTGTCGTGTCGGCAATTTTTTCATTTTCGGCATCAATATTCATCTACATTTCCTTATGCTTTTACATAATGCTAACTTGTAAAACTTAGCCAATTTCAATTAGCATCGAGACTTACAATTCTTGGAGATATAGTTAGTGCTAATGTTGAACTTAAAACATTGAAATTAAAGATTTTCTTCCGCTCGTGTTTGTATTATTGCTTTGCGTTTGTTTCACTGTAAAGTGTGGCGGTCGGCATTGCGTGGTCGATAGAATGCGGTGGTCTGCCGATAAAATATAAGTGCGACGCTAAATGAACAACCGAAGTGGAACCGAGCTGCCGATATTTAATGCTAAACCTTAACAGGGTGGTCATAATTATCAAAAACGAAAAGAGAAAAAAATATTTCTATTAAAAAAACTTGTTCTTATGCTACCGGCACGCACTTCCAAATCATTATAGGCATATATTCGCAATATTAAACATAAATTGAAGGATAATGGATGAATTATCTTTGTTTGCTCGAATTTTTTGATTGGTTGCCCTATTCTCTCATAATCATGGGACCATAAACGTTGATCAACACAACGCAGAATATCTTAAAAAAAGCTAAACGCACAGTCGAATTAATAAATTTCTCTATCGATAAATCGACAAACGACCAATTGAAATTGTTCGAGAGAACTAAATGAACGCCAATTATAGACCCAGATCGTTCATTCGGCATGTTACACGTTTGAACAAATTTAGGCACAACTGTCATAACAATCGCACCAGAAAAACAAATCCAAACACGAACCTCTGGAAAATTCGAAAAAAAAACCGCCGACTGCGGAAACAATGATTGGAAAACTATCTGCTTGGTACCGCGACAATGTTTCGGAATCCGCCGACTGCGTTGCATGTCGACTAATAAGCGGATTTGGCATGATCGGTATTGGAGCTTTTCTCCTCGCACAAGCAAAGCGCCGCCGCTCACCTGTGGAAAATTACGCCATGAAAAGTATTGCGGCAGGTACGGGTGCTAAAAATATCCAATGATTAGCTTGTATTGACTATGTTTACTAAACAGTTGCTGGAGTTTTGGGCGTGGCCCGCTTGGCAGATGCAGATTTCCTGAAGGCGAAGACGGAGCCTGCAAAGGAACATAAAAAGATAACGGGAGATCATCCATTTTTTAAGCGCTGATGTCCATTAATTATAAACGTATTAGTTAAATTTAATTTGTTCAATACAATTATTCGCGTATGTAGACATGACTCGCTTCAGCGTCCCACCTTTCCCAGCTTGGTGTCAGTCTTTGGATTAGCAGTCAGTGTCTGCACTGAGACAATTGTTTCGTTGATCTGAGTTTGTAGCTGTCGTAGACTTTGAATCTGCAGTAGGCGCAGAATGCGCATGGGGTAATCGAGCATTGGATCGTTGGCAGAGACAACATCGTTTCCCTTGTCGAAGGGGAACGGAGTGCCGGTAATCGCTTTTCGATTTTTGGCTGCCGGACCAACGCGTTCGTGCACAATGCGCGCTAAAGCCTCCAATTGCAGCAAATGATTGGGATGATGGGGCACTTTCAGTTTTGTGGCCAGAGCGCGAACGCCAGCAATAAATTCCTTGTCATGGACTACAGATTATTTGCAATTAGTAATGCACTTGACTTGTTTTTAGCACAAACAACTCACCATTTATCTTGCCATCGAATATGGTTTGAATTTTCTGTTGCGATTGTGCGCCATTATTCTTTGTCACGCTGGTATCCTGACCATTGATCACTTCGTATTGGGCCGGATCATCGAGAAACTCTAGACGCATTGCATGCCCCACCATCCAGGTGAGCTGCTCCAGTTGTGTGTCATATGGGGGCATTTTTAAATCAATGCAGTACTTCTTGTAGCCCTCTTCCCATATTTGCATATAGTCCAAGCTGCGCAATTTCTCGCGATCCTCAATCGTATAGAGTCGTATCTTTTGATCTTCTAGCCACAGTACCGTGCTTGCAAACTCCTTGCGGTCTGTGAGGATGAGGGAGAGTCGGATTTACTCTAGTATTGGACAGTGCATTTAATACTCACTGCTTAATGCCACATCGCTTGGAGTTGGATGACCTAAGGCCTCGAGCTTAAGCTTTAACATTATTTTGTTCTTGTAGCTTTTAATAGACAATTTTACAGATTAACAAAAATAAATGCAGCTATCAGACGGCGTGCAAAAACAAAACAAGTGACCATTTCATATTCTGTTTTGCATATGGTCACACTGCCGCACAGCTGATACTTATCGATAACATTAGGTGTATTTTGTCATCTTCAATCAGTTTTGAATTGCAGTTTTATATTGTTTCCACAATGGCCAGCAGCAATGCAAGCGATCCACAGTTGGCTTTTATACGTGATCAGGTGCAGCTGTGCATGCTGCCTAGCCTCAAAAAAGATCTAGATGAAGTGCAGGTTTTGCCGGCGCATTTTGAAGCTTACCATTTCATGCTCAAACAAGAGCTGCCCAAATTGTATGATCTTCTACAGAGAAACGAGGATGTTCTATTAAATGATGTCTTATACCAGGAGGTTTGCCCAAGAAAATACCGATTATTCATGTATCTATATTTAAAACTCAATTATTGTCAATTTAGCTGCGTGCACAGCTTGTGCTACTGCTTTGTGAACTGACCGCGTCACAGGCGATTTACAGCCTGGACGCAGGCGACGATAAACAAGTCCTGCAGAATGCCAACCAAATCCTAAGCAAGCTCGCGTCCACATGTCAGAAGGCTGAGGAATCCTATATTTTCAATTATTATGAGCGGAATCTACACAAGGATTGTTGGAAGCGTCAATTGGGGGCAGTACATGGCTACGTCAGATACTTGGAGGTAAATTATAATAATCAGATCTTTTGATATTAAGATATTAAGAAGTTCTTTTACAGCTCCGCTACGTTAACGATGTGAAAATGTCTGCACAGATGTTAACATTCAGCGTAGCTGTGGGCCTCAACGTACGTGAGTGCTATCAGTCGGAATACAAGCAGCTTGGTGTGCGTATTTTTACACATATGTTAAAACATGGCGTAAGATATATCTGGAATCTCAGTATACCTCAAATGCTTTTAATCGATTTATACCCAGCGTCCGGAGGATATACAGCAACTGAATATACAAGGCGTGATCTATGAGCATGTCTTTAGGGATGTGCAGAGTATGGACACAATCGCCGAAACAAATTCCAATTGGGATTGCCTTTGCCTGTGCTTGGATCACTTTACTGAGCTTGATGCCTTTTCGGTATATAAGCCCATTTTATATAATTTAAAATTCACCTAATGCTAACTAATAATATTACAGTGGAATCAGTGCGATGATATGCTCGAGCGCCTTATACAGAATGTGTCACTGGCCTCCACTACAGAAATGTCGATTTGTCTAATGCATTTCATAACAAAGCTTGGCTATTATTTTGCTATTAATAAGGATGATATCAAAAGTGCAATAGCTAGTGATTTAACTCAACCGGATCAAATGGCAGCCTGCTTAGAAGTCTGTGCTTCGCTTAATGTCTGCACCAATTTTCGATGGGCTAAAAGCATCCTGCATATGCTTGTGCTGGAGTCTGAGAAGCTGTTGCGAAGCGCGGATGCCTGTGCTCAGATGCTAGCCTCTATGCAGCGCTGCTTTTTAGTGTGCGTATTGTCGATTCCTCTGCAGGCCCTGCATATGCATTTGGGCGAATTTTATGCCAAGTTTGTAGCTGTGCTTCTGGAGAGCATTGTCGTGCATGAAAGGACCCAACCAATCTTAGGGGTAAGTGTACTTATTCGCATCTTACTTATATTAGGCTCATTTAGTTAAAGATAGTCAGAAGTAAATCAAACCGATTTTTTATTGAATGATGCAGAACTATTTGATATAAATTTATTTTGAGTACCTTTCCCATGGCATGATTTTTTCCGCATGTTGCGACTCATTTGTATAATCGCCTTTTTTGAGTTACGACTATCTTCACTTAAATAAGCGAAATGTTTATATGTTTTAAAATCTACATATTTTTTTCATAGCTAACGCAGCAATTTTTTCAAATATTCATTTATCAACTGAAAAATTGCCCACCCGATTATCAAGCGGCTAGTAATCTAAAATCCTATCTGTCTGCGCTGGAGAACTTACCTGCCGTTATTGTCAAATAAAGTTCAGCTATAAACGCATTCAAAAGTTCCTGAGACTTATTTATTGATCAAGGCGTAACGCAACGCCTACACAACGATATTGTCACGACTTTTAATAATGTACAAAATGATCGAATTTGATCGAAGTCTGTTTTCATTGCTTGGTTTATTTCTGTACACGCTTGCCTCGGGCAACTGCAACTCAACTAGATCGATGAGAAACTTACACTATACATCTTGCGTCGTATCTTATTGGGCATTACTTATCATAGTTTTCATACTGTCTTTGGTTGTGCCGTATCTAGGCTGTAACACATTTAGATCAACGAGATAACCGATTTCGTCTAGGGCATTGTTGCTTTTGGACAGATGGAATGTATCATGCACAATCTAAACTACCTTTATAACATTTCAGCTGAGTAAATATAATGACCACGACACCAAGAGTTCCCAAAAAATTATATAGAAGACTGCAGAATTAATATACACACACGCGTCTTGGACCTTCATTGTGACTTCATGTAGACTTTACAGGCCTATGTCGCTCTGGTAATTATCGCAGCTGAGTCATCGTGCAGATTCCCAGTACAATTTGAGTAGTGTAAAGGCGCATCAGGCCTGTCCTATTGAATCTGCCGCCTTGCATAATCCAAATATGCAAGTTTTTGTTCTGTTCGCCTGCCCCACCCATTGCAACAAATCGATGGCCATAGTCGATGCCCTTCTAAGCTACAAGAATGTGCAGTTCCGAGAGTTAACTCTAGAGCGTTATGCACAGGACACGCCTGTCGCAGATTGGATCAAGAATGGAAACCTATTTAGCTCAAGGTTAAAATATCTTTTTCGTTATTCAGATGCTTTGGCTAACTTATATATTCCACTTTGTTTTCTGATGTATCACCTATCCGACCTACTACGCTTAATAACCCTATATCGCTTCGGCGGCGTCTACCTGGACATGGACGTACTGAGTTTGCGTACCTTGAAGGATGTGCCACTAAATTAAATAGCATTGGCAATAGTGTTATAAGTTTGGTGCCCAATGGCTTTGGCCATCAGCTTAGCGAGCTATTTCTGCAGAACTTCCAGAGGAATTATATAGGCAGCGCGCAGGCCCACAATGTACCCATGGTCTTAGTGCGCGTCCTGAGGGAGCTGTGTGGAACTCAAAATATTACGCTCATGGTGAATAATCGCGAACGTTGTCACGGCTTTCAGGTGCTCAATGTGAGTGATATATACGAGATTCCATGGAGGCAGTGCCCAATGTCTTTGTGGTATATTGTGCTTGATTCTTCTCACACAGCCGAGTGCTGTCTTTATAATCATACTAATTGTTTAGTTTGAGATAAAGTCAAGTATTCGTCTAGGAGCAAGTGTTTCATATACCAATTAATCTTTAATAAGTCTTGACAACTTGACTCTTGACAACTGCTTACTATAGAGTCTAACAATAGAAATTAACTCGTTTTGTAAATTAATTAAAAATTGAATGAGATAAAATTGCGAAAAGTGTTTTGAGATAAACATATTTCGTGTATTGGATTAATTGGCAATTTATCAGTAATGTTGTCGAAAAATTGTTCCACTATTATGTCTGCGACTACTGTGCTCTTCTAATTTGGTCCATTTTCGTCTTTTTGGTTTCAGGGCCAATCCCATTGGTATGCTGGGAAACATGGGATACTACGTCAAACGATACTAATGTTTCGTCTTCACTAATGGGGGAATTGTCGATTATATTAAGAGTCCAGTGTCAAATTTTTTCATATTCTTACAATGTATTTTCATAGGCCGTATGAGGGGGATTTGATAGATCAACAAATTGCTGCTGTTCCTTATATTTTGGGCCACTATTAAAAACAAATATAGGTGCGAATATCCGCAAATTGCAATATCTGCAAGTTCTCTGTTAAATGGCGAGTAAATAATAAAAGCAGCTTATATATTAATAAATAAATTAACAATTCACAAAAAATGAAGTTTTGTCTTAGTGCGCCAATTATTTAAAAGTCTGTTATTTGCTTCAATATATACAAAGCAAGCCTTCCCAGCACGTAATGAAATTGTTTAACACTGAATGCAATCGGCGGTTCATTTACCGTGTGAACTAGTAGTTCGATAGACCTTTTGAATGAACTACCTGAATTTGGTTGTCTAATTGTTTTTCTCAAAAACTATCATATTTTCTCTGCTTAGAATTAATGCTTAAAGCATGTATGTTCAGCATGTTGAGAAGACAAGTACCAGGAATTGGCGCTAATTGACCGACTCTAACTCGATTCATTCGAATTAACTCAAAAGTCTCCACTCTACAATTAAGCATAATTATCACAATTGCAGAACTACTAGACAACCCTCTTTTTCTTTTTAAGCAAAACAGTTTGTAATCGATATCGGTTATCGGAATCGGATAGAAGTTCAGTGCTTACGCTAATATGTATATACATAATTTTTCGTCAATGGGGATTTGCATTTTTGTTGTAATGCCTTTAATGTAAAGCCTTTGATTCAGCGATGGACCAACTTTGCCGTGTTTGCATGGACAGTTCCGTTACGTTGGTGGACATATTCGCCGAGCGGCAACAACAATCGAATAAGGACCCCAGCCTGGCTGAAATGCTAAATGAATTCTGCGAGGTGAAACATCAGGATTTGCTGCCCCAGCACATATGCCTGTCGTGCGTGCTTGCGGCGCAAAATGCATATAAATTCAAACGCACCTGCGAGGAGAGCAACCGGAAACTGCTACAGCTGCTGCATATTAAGGAAAAGGAAAAGGCCAAGTGCGCATTGCCCTTCGTGGAGGCAGTCTATCACAAGGAACTGCTGGGGGTCAACTTGAACTGCATTAAGGTAGAGCCGCAGTATCAAGACGAAACCGCTGCCAACGAAAATAAGCTTTCCTTGACGGATGAAAAATCTGCAGAGCGAGTGTCTCTAAAGCGACACAAGTCAAAAAGCCCGGCCAGGCGCAGACCACAGAGCCATGGAGAAAGGCCCTACAAGTGCAAATTCTGCGAGAAGGGGTTCGGACGATTGTACCTGTTGGGCCTGCACGAGAAGTGAGTGATGTGCAGCATACCATTTGTAGACAAAGTTAACCTTCAGTTTTTTATATGCCAACCAGGCGCCACACTGGTGAGAAAACGCATTTCTGTGGCACCTGTGGCAAGGGCTTTCTACGCGGTCACGATCTGACCGTTCACACTCGCATTCATACTGGCGAACGTCCGTTCCAGTGTCCGCATTGCCCGCGATCGTTTATACAGAACCACATCCTTACGGCTCATATGCGACACCACCCCAGTAAGGACTTTCGCTGTGATCACTGTCCCGCTGTTTTTAAACTGCATTCTCAGCTAAGCCTGCACCAATCAGTGCCGCACGGCAAACCTAATAAATTGGCCAGGAAGCCTGCCGCAAAGCGAGTGGCGCCCAAGAATAAGCAACAGAATACAAAGTCTAGCGAGGGGCAAAAAAAACAAAGACCGTCAAACATTCTGGAACGTGGATTACGAAATGGATTGGCGCCAGTCTGCTATGAGGAGCTGGACATAGAATGTGAATTGGCAGCCATGGAGGCAAAGCCGAACATCGATCAGGCGCCGCTCAAGCTGAATTACAATCCAAAAACGTCCAAGAATCGCGCTGTACTTATCAAAGGGCGGCAGAAACACAACAAGGCCAAGAGCGGTAAAGGCGGCGGCGAAAAGTAAGTATTGTCTAATAACAATGTCTGTGCACGAATAACAGTTGATTTTCCTACGCTCCGCAGATCCCACAGAGATGCCAAGACTCATTTCTGCGAGACCTGTGGCAAGGGGTTCCCGCGCCGCTATGGATTAATAACACACATTCGGGTTCATACTGGCGAACGTCCATACAAATGCCAAGCCTGCGGTTTCGCATTTACTCAAGGACAGGCTCTCAAGAGGCACATACGCAGGGTTCACAGCAGTGGCGTTCATAAGGAGATGCGCAACGATTCCAAAGATTTGCTGATGCCAGCAATAAAGCGGGCGATCGTACGTGTGGCGCGAATTCAATTACCGCCTCACCTATTGACTGTTAAATGTGATGACTGAATAAGGCGCTCTTAAGAGGCGTTATTCCAACTGTATTCTTATTTGTTGCCTTTTTATTTATATATTATGACTCATTATTTATTAGTACTCGTATTTTATAATTTGATTTTAAATGCAATATTTAGTTATGAAGACAATATTGAAGTGGTGCAATTTATAACTTACATATTTTTAAAGCAGATTTTACAAAAATTAACGTTTAATTAACATTTTATGAAATACATCAAGGACACTATTCAACTAATTTATAGTAAAGAAACTGGATGCATTATCTACTGTCAAAAAAAAAAAAAAAAACATTTTAATTGATAAAACTAATTTGTTTTGTACAAATTGTAGTGCATTGTAATATTAATAAAAGTTTTAAGCAGTTTGCAAACAAAATGGATTTCACAAATTGTAAATAAATCTAGTTTAAAATGATTGATTTTTATACGAATCGATAACATAAACATCAACAGGTGTTTGTTTTAACTGCGTATATCGATATATCGGTCACACTTTAAATCACGAAGTGTTTCGATAGTCGATGTTCACAAAATCGTGTGAGTCGAAGTCTTTAGCCATCCCTAGACCTGATTATCTAAACATTTTTTTTATGTTAAAATGCACGTTAACGCTAGAATCTTAACTCATAGATTGGCGCAACAATGCACCTTCAACCGGATTGGTGAGATAACATGATAATTTGGTTAAAAGTAAGCATTGATCACTCGACAATTTCAGTCACATTTTCCACTAAGCCGACACAGCAGGCTGCAGCAGTCGCAGTGCCGCAACAGCAAGAAGCAGCTGGTCCGCCAGTTCGAAAACCCATCGTGCCTGCACACTATCGCTTTGTCTATCCAGAGTTTCTGCCCGATCCCAAAGTGGAATGGCGAAACTCGGTGCGCGAAAAGCTGGAACGTCTGGATATGCTAGACCGTCGGCGCCAAATCGAACTACCCGAGTTCTATGTGGGCTCCATTCTGGCTGTGACCAGCTCTGATCCCCATGCGGCCGGTAAGACCAGCCGATTCGTGGGCATTTGTATACACCGTGAACGCTGTGGACTTCGCGCTCGTTTTATTCTTCGCAATGTCATCGATCACCAGGGCATAGAGGTAGTCTACGAGCTGTACGATCCCACCATACAGAAAGTCGAGGTATTGCGTCTAGAGAAGCGTCTGGACGATAGTCTATTCTATTTGCGCGATGCACTGCCGGAATATAGCACATTTGATGAACACATGGAGGCGGAAACGTTGGAAGAAGGAACTCCAGTGCCTGTCAACGATATAAAAGTAGTGTTGCGTCCACGACCCTGGTTGGAGCGCTGGGAACGGCAGAATTTACGTGGCGTGGCAAACATTGATCAGTATCTGAAGGACAAGCATCGCAAGTCTGCCGCAAAAGTGCAAAAGCCTTGGGAAAAATACGACCTGATGAAGCAATACCGCTCCACCATTCCCGAAGAGGAACAAAAGGAGATCTTTGCAGAGGTACACACCGAATTGCATACTTTGGAGCTGCAGCGTAAGCGCAACAAACGAAAACGTACCTTTGTGAAACCCAAGCAGTTGGCATAGATGCTCCATGGCCCTGCATTTGTTATTCTAACTTGTAGTTTAATAAAACCAAAAATCATAATTGACATTGAAAGTTGAACTTTTATGCATATATATATTAACATGGATTATGCTAGAGTAGTTAGTATTATAAGTCATTATTGTAGGGAGCGCCTAGCAGCTAAGAAGCAAAATAATTTACATTCCACGTCACTTGAATCATCAATAGACGCGATATTTATAGAAGTTTACAAACGAAATTGTTGCATTCCAGCCTATGATAGTAACGACAAGATATAAGAGAAAGATAATGGGCAGCGCAATGAGTATGAGGCGCGTATTCTTCAAATGTGGAATACCTGCAAAGTGGCAGTTGTGCGGATAAATAGATAAGCTTGGTTTTTATTATAAATGGCTTCTACTCACAGTTGTAGCCCAGGAAAGTGATGTACACATAATACCCCATGCCCATCAGCCAAAAGGAGTTGCCCAGGAATCGTGATATGAACCAAGTCTGGCTTATAAGCCAATTGTAAAAGAACAGCTGTATGAAATGCAATAGCATCAGCGGCGGAAAGAAGGCGTTCAGATGGACATCAAATGCATAGCCCCACTCAATGTCCGGCTCCAGATTATTGGTGCGCAAGTAACGGTTGGAAACCACCCAAAAGAATGATGCAATTATGATGCCAGCAAATATGCAATCGACGAAAACCACATAGAAAATAAAGGAAATGCTTTGCCAAATGGACAGGCCCAGTACATATGCAAAGCCCAGAGAGGTAACTGAAAGCACATTGGGAATATTACTCTTTGAAAATTCGACTTGCTTCCAACCACTTACCACATAGACAAATGACCAGCAGAACCAGAAATGCGGGATCGTCGCGGGCAAATTGAGATTTGGTTTGCTTCCTGTAGTTAAAATTTCTATACACCTTTTGTGGCGCTATAAACAAGTAGATCATTTGCCAGAATGCAAATTCAAAGTCCATTTGATTGAATTTGAGCAGCCGCCGCAGATATTTGTAGCTTTTTGATGTTGCCGAGAGGCAATCCTTGCGATATCCAATGGGCGGCGGCAGAGGCGAATGCAGACGCGATGCGCTCGAATAGCCAGACACCACGGATGGCGTTGGCGATGTCGTGTACTTAATGTTACTATATTGGCTCATTTTTTGTGTTTTTAAAAACTAAATATGTAAACGTAAACGTCTTGCATTTTTGTCTGCAAGAACAGCTGGTTTGAGGTCCGATAGGGATGAGAAAATAAAATTATCGAAATTATTTACTATCGCAATATATTCACAATTGAAAATATCGATGATTATATCGATAAGATTATTAAAACAACCAGTGTGACCGAATTTATTTACAAAATGCGCCAAATATTTTAATTTTAAATGAATTTATGAAAAAAAAAACGAAATACTACAAATAAACAATTGAAATTATTATTATTCGGCGTTTCTAATGCTTCTAGCCGAGACAATTGAGACTGGCTGATGCATAAGATAAGGAGTTACTACTTTATGTAATTGGCGCATTTGTTTAAAAAGTCTGCAAGGCAAACAAATCTTTTAGTTTACAATGGCTCATCCAAGTTCGGAGTTCTTTTTAAAACCATTTTAAAACTAATTTGGACATACTGCTTAGGCCTAGAGAGCAACGCCAGCAAAAGGAATATAAGATATAAATAAAAGTTTTCGGACAAGAATTTAAAAAAAAAAAACATACCAAGCACAAATAAATGCCGCTTCTCGCAAACACACGCTAAACTCCCACAATTGCTGAGATAGTTCAATGGAAATGGAAAGTTTCAGCTGCCGTTGATGCGACTGTGCCACAATTAAGGCATCATTGAATGCATTTCTCAACGCTATGAGACACCAACGGAGCGGTCAACGGTCACCGATCAGCTGGCTACGGGCAATTTATGGCACAAACTCTGGGCAATTGCAGAGGAAAAAAAAAAAAACAAAAACAATAAGCAATCTTTATCACATTTATTGCAATGCCCTTTGGCATTGACAACGGGCCAGGATCAAAACGCAAGCATAAGACAAAGGCGAGCGGGTGCCAAGGGAAAAAAAGGGAGAAGGAGAAACAGAAAAGGTCAAACAATGACACCGGCGCATGCACAAAAGGAGCAGCAAGCGAGCGCGCGCGCTCAGACAGACACATCTTGAGGTCGTCTTAGAGGTCAACTTTGGACTTACTTAGGCATGTTGCAGCCACATTAACACAGGGGACAGGGATGCGATCTTGAGCTGAAACTGAGCCAAAATGAGTTTTCACTCCAAATAGGGGTTGAGATTTGGACATATGTATGCAGTTTCCTATGCCAACACTCGCTCTCCCTCTCTCTCTCCGAGTTGAGTTAAGTTGAGTTTCTCAGCTTCCCACTTGGGCGATCTGTCTTGTCCGCGCAGCACAGGACATTTCCGGATTGCATTCAATTGTCATGCTGCAACAATTGCGCTTTTTATTCCTGCTATTTGTTTGTCACCTTTTCTTTTGCCAATGGTTATTGGTTTTTTAGATCTTGTTACGTTTTTTGTTTGCTCAACATAAATACAACGATCCATGTCAGGCAGATCCTGGCAACAAGACAAATGGCCAAATTTGCCAGGCAAAGAAACGACTGCTCCCAATATACTCAAACAGCAGCCGTCTCTCGGCTTGGCGCCCATAAAAATTAAATGAAAATTAAGCGTAAACACGAGAATTCTGTCACATAAATCCCCCGGGCCAGATCACCATAGCATCGCCCTGCACCTTGCCAGCAACTATTTTTAGTCCTTGCCGAGGCGACTTGCCGGGAATGGGAGCTGCAGCTGTTTACTCGTTCGCTTCCTTGCATACATCTGCAGTCTGCAGTTGAGTTATGCGCCGCTGAGGCTGCTACTTGATTAACACATGTCCTGTCCTGGCCGGCAGCCAATGTCGCCGCCATGCAGGCGTATCCCCGACACGTAGTTCACCAAGCGTCACAAGAGCTGCAGAGAAGGCGGCGCAGAAGTCGCGCGATATGTTAATGTTTAGTTTGTTGATGCTCTTAACTCATTCATTATGAATTGGAGGTGTTAAGTGTGCCACATGTGTGGCAGCCGCAGGACCAGCACAATCCTTGCAACAACCAAGCGCAGCAGTTGCTCGCTCAAGTTTTTTGCTGGAATTCTTGGGAATTGCTCAAATTAATTTATTTGTGTGAATGGATTCTCGACTTCTTCACAAAGTGAAAGGAGTATATTAGGTTTGTCTGCCTCAATATAACTAAAAATTTGAATATATGCCCGCCTATAGCTAAGTCAGATGAAGATGCTTGATAAATCTATATCTTGATTGATAAGCTCATTTAAAGATATATCGGACGAATTAATATCTTTTATTTAAATTAGGGTATACAAAATTGTGCAAATGTATGTACCAGGCAGAAGAAAGCACTTCCGAACGAAGTATCTAGATAGCCTTGCCCGTCTATTTGTCCGCGTGTCCGTGTGAACTTGCCGATCTTAAAACCTACAAGAGCTAGAGTCTAGAAATTTCGAACATAAGTGCCCGAGTAGTACAAGTACGTTCCAAATTATCGATAGCTTTGTCCGATTCACAGCAATCGATAAAAATCGATATCGATCTTTGGTTTTTAAACATATCTCTAGAGCTTGAAGCACCAAGTTTTTTCATTGTAGCTTCTCGGAAAGTACTTATATAGGGAGAGCATAGCGCTTGGTGCTTTTGCTAGAAAAAGTTTTAGGGTATTGGCTAGTCGGACAGTCCCGAGACCTACTTGTTTTTTTGTTATAATAATAATTTAAGAGTTTGCCTTTCTATTATGCGCAAACAAAAACAACAAATCTTTGTACATATGCAATAACAAATACCTTAGAAAGAAAGTACAGTATTCGAATGTCTTCAATCGGTTTTGCATTATGTATAGCCACGATTTTTTTTATTGGAATCTGAATGAATATTTCTAAATAAATATCAACCGCAAATCTGTTATTTCTCCACCTACCTCTAAGTACTTTTCATGCTCTATAGAGAATGCCACAAGATTATGATCATGAATATGAAAAATCGTCAAAATACAATAAATACAAAAACTGCATAGACTCGAGTATAAAGCATTCAATCAATCATAAGACGCAAATCCTGAAGGAAATCAAACAATGACGCCACGAGCTGGAGGGAGGATCGCGTCGAGCCTGAGGTTCGGGGTTCGGGGTTCGGGGTGAGGCAATGTTGCGCGTGCGCAGCGCACGCTCCCATTAAATGTTTACGCTATTACGCTCACCAAGGAGCAGGCAGCCAGCCAAGGAAATTAAAGGACCCAGGCAGCGACCCCGACCCCGACCCCGACACCGTCTACGATTCGCTTCGGAAACACAGAAATCTTGCGCGCCAATGTCGCGACCCTTGATGGCATTTGGCTGCTGCTGCTGCTGCTGCCCTTAGCACACGCTCAAGATCAAGATCCATAGCCTGAGCCTGGCCCCGACGCCAACCCCGGGTTGAAGTTCAAATGGCTTGCCTTACAAATGATATTCTTATGCCCGTTCCCTTTGGGGATTTGTTTGTGTTTCTGCTGAAGTGACATTTAAATGAGCGCGGGTTTAAGTCAAATCCTGGCACGCCGCCTGCGTTCCCGCTTGCCATCTGTCCAAACTGGAGTTATGAAGTTATGCACTAATTTCTGGTAGTTTTTTGTAATTTCTCAGCCATGAAAATTGCTTGCCCCATCTCTTAAAAGATGTGTTAAAATGTGCGAGCATGTGTGTTCCTTTGGTTCAGATTTAACACTCAGCATAATGCTTAAATGTGTTTCTTATTCCAATCATTAGATAGATACTCTGCTGATATGAATAAATATTACATTAAATTAAGAAAGAGCGACTCTTTTTGGAATGCAGACAATTAAATAGCCTTCTAGACATATACCGATTTCCCCTATATAAGCTATATAACATTTTATTCTGATTTAGTAAGGATTTTTAAATATGGTTATACGAATAATCAAATTCTATCTAAAAATACCTTTTACTTATATATTTATACCTTTAATATTGGTAATCGATCCTATGTCAGCTATATTATATAGTGTACCGATCCGTTTGATTCCGTCATATGTGAGACTAGTTTGAATAGAAATAGACGGGCGGGCATTATACATACGGATCTATACAATTTACGGGCTCGAAAACTTCTCTCTGTAACTCATACACATTTCGTGACAAAATTTACGAGAACTATAATCAAAGAAGCTGTGAAAAAGAAAGACTGACTTTAGACATAGATATTTGTATCTACTAGAAGATTTCCCAGTTAAACCATCTTTCTTTAACCAAGTAAGAAACTTCCCTATCTTTTCCAGTTGAAACTTTTTCATATCTCCCACAAATGACGCAAAATCATGCCAAATATGCCTATGATATAATATGACCTTAAAACCTCTTTAAATTCCAGGAGCATGTGCTTCAGTTCACAATTCGAGCTAAATCTCTGCCCTTAGGTTCTGCTCGTGAGCTACATGCAAGAGCTTAAGTTATGGTTAAGTCCTTGGGGTTTTTAAACATGCCAATAATTTTCTGATAAGTAGAAGGAATTAAAAGGGATCGTGTTCTTAGCTTCCACAAAAAGTATGAATGCATTTTCAAAAAAGTTGCTTTTATTTTTTCGACATATTAACGACTCGACGTCAGCTCAAATTTAACGGCAATTGCACGCTCATAAAAACTAAAGATTATTGATATATCTGAGGATATCGCAACTGCCCCATCGAGAGCGGATTTCAATTTCACGGCCATCCGCTTGCATTTTGATAGAATAGATGGAACTATGTGACGATCGGCCCAATTAGCACAGGACAATCGATGGCTCGCAAAATGAAGAAAGATAAAAAACTTCACTTCAACTAATCCCGTCAGTGTGTGATTGGCGTGCTGCGGCTCAGCCAGGATCTGCTTGGAGATTTCAATCGTCGGTAGTTGCATGAATGGGACTCGAATTCAGATCGCCAACAATATGAAAATGTCACGCTTATCGGTGCAAACACTAACGGGAGTGGGAACAGAGCCGGAGACGGGCAAGGAGACGGGCAAGGAGAACGGGGAATGGAGATCGGGCAGCAGGCCGGCAGTTGGCTTTGGCTTATGTTGTGGTTTTAACTCAAAAGGAAGTCGAGACCGCTGGCTCACCCAGGGGCCCAGTTTGAGTGTCAGTTGCTGCTATCGTCCTTTG